GTCTTGGCCAGATTTGGTTTCCAGGGCCTTCCCTGCATTGATAGCCGTCCTCTGAGCGCACTGCAGGTTGCCAACATCCTGCTTGGATGGTGGGGCCAGGATTGGGCACAGGATTCGGGGGGGGGGGGGGGGGGGGGGCTGAGCAAGTCAGAGGAGGGGAGGGGGACAGTTGCTTCCCGTGCCCTGCAGCCTGTGTGCCCTGGTGAGCGGGTCTTCCCTCCCTTCCCTTGTTTTAAAAGTAAGCCCAGGTCCTACCTTAGGAACTCTACAATTCAAATCCACAAAATCAACAAAAGTTGTTTAATCTTTATGGTGCTATGAATTGTTTTAATGTGTTGGCTACTGGACGAAGAGGTCATTTTCAACCATACAGGTAGATTTTATTACTTCATAATGATTTACATCAGTTTCCTCCTCCATTAGGTTTCGTCCTTGTTTTGATGTCTGTCTTCATGGTCAGTAGAGATGTAGGCATTCAGATTCACACATTAGAGGATTCCCTCCTTTCCTGTATTCCCGGAGCCATTTCTTTTGCAAACATTTCTGGGCAGATTTTTCTGGGCCTTTGGCAAGCGCGCTGAGAACCTGCAATTCCTCTTGTTGCAAAAGCCAGGCCGACTCGGGGACCCCCAGATCCATAGGGGGATCCCAGCGCTGAACCCGCCAAATGAGTAGAATAACCATTTCTCCTACGGGGAAATTTAAGATTGCAACACACTTTGTTTTCATCTGTAGCATGCTGCAGTATTGAGCATGTTCGGCTCAAGGAAGGTCCAAGTGGGGTTCTTAAAGCTTAACTCCTACTTATTATCTTTTCTTCAGATCCAGTTTTGCAATTCTTGATTAGAGAATGTTGCACCCACTACTGTGGGTGAGTCAGTCTCCAGTGATGTGTGCTAAAGCTGTCAATCTTCTAATAATTGATGCTTAAATATAAATGTAAACCAGCTGTTGCTTTTGGCTGACATACCCACGTCTCATAAAAAGCTGCATTGTTTTTGAAGATGTGCATGAGAAGGAAGAGCAGCTTTGTAGATCAAAGGAGAGATTTGCTTTGTGGCTAATTGGAAATGCTCTGTTATCAACTGATATTGTAATCACAGGCAAGTCCCTTAGCCGTACTTAAAATAAAGCTGATGCTCATCAGCCATTTGCACCTCGATTGCAGTCCGGCATTGTGTTGCTCGTGCTTGGGAGATGAAGTTAGAACCAGGGCAGGAGTGCCCTGACTTCACTCCTGAATCACTTCTCTTCTTAGTGCCTGGGGGTGAAGTTTTCTTTCCCTGAATTTGAAGGACTTCCAAGCTGGATAGCACATTTTGCCCTGATCAAGTGTGTCTAGGTCCTACAGGTAAATTGGAACAGGTTTTCCTACACATAGTGCCTGTCAGACCTGCCCCGATTTGCTCCTTTATTTAAGAAAGACCCTCGACTCCATTTATAGCGAAAGGGATACTTTCACTTGAAGCCAAGTGGGTTACAAAGCCAGAACGGAATTTCGCGGGCTAAAATTTCCCAGTTAACTTCACCCATCCAGCTCCTCCCCTCCCCTGGTCCATATTGTCCAATTCCTGTGGAGGTTCTCAGTCGTCCAAAGTCATGGCTGCCCAAAGGTGCTTTTTCAAGAGGCAACTGGACTTCTTCAGGTTTTGGATGAAGAGCAAACGTCTTCAAATTAAAAACAGAAAGTCTAGTTGCCTCTTGAAAAAGGACCTTTGGGGCTATTGTCCAATTATATTTGAAAATAATCGTTTGGGGAACAGCCTCTTCAATGGCAGCATGCTGGTTGGTGAGCCGTTGCATTCCATTCCCTCAAGGCTTAGACCAGGGGTGTCCAACCTTGGCAACTTTAAGACTTGTGGACTTCAACTCCCAGAATTCCTCAGCCAGAATTCTGGGAGTTGAAGTCCACAAGTCTTAAAGTTGCCAAGGTTGG